TATGACAATAGAAACATGGAAATAAAAATTAACTGCTTAGGAAAGTGACGGAAATTTGTTTTCTTTCTTTTTCTTTTCTTTTTTTTCTCTCCTGGCTGTTTTTCTAGGTCTCAGGGCTGGTGCCACCTGCTGCCTGGGCTTTCCTCTGAGAAACAGATCTCTCAACAGTTTGTTCCAAGCAACATCTGTAGGCACAGTTGAACAATCAAACTATAGGCTAGTTCCAAAGGCAAGCACTGTTGTCCTTATGTTGTGCACTGAACCACACTAAATTTCCCTTTAAAGCCTTTTTAAAATGTCTAATTAAAGATCCAAATGTATGTGCATGAACTTTCCTTCACCAGTATCATTTTTAAAAATCATGGTAAAATTTTAAATTTATCATTTAAAAAATTTCTTTCTTTCATAAGTATCTTTTTTTCTTCTGAGAAAAGGTGTGCGCCACTACGTCCAGCCTTCATATGTATCTTTTGCTTTTTTGTTGTTGCTTTCTCTATTGCTAGGGATCTCCCATATGTATCTTAAAGTAATTAACAGTAATGGTAAAAGGTTCATCCATTACTTTTAATGGTAAAAGTAATCCTCCTTGTCACTTTTTTTTTGGTACCGGGGATCAAACTCGGGTCCTTGCGCTTGCGCAGCAGGCAGCAAAACCACTGAGCTAAATCCCCAGTCCTCTCCTTGTTGCTTTTTTCAGACCTATGAACACTGAAAAAAAAATCAAAACACATACACCTAGAGCAGGAGTTGGTAAAGTACAGCCTGAGGACCTAACCTGGACTGCTTGTTTGTTTTTTTTTTTTAATCAGCTCACTTTTTATTTCCTTTCTAGAGTGTGTCACAGAAATCTCACTCATTAGCTCTCTCCTCTTGCAGGACTGCAAGCTAGGACAGGACACAAGGCTTCTCTGTCGTGGGCACTCCTCTGGTTACAGAGTCTGGTCAGGAGCTCACGGAATGCCTGTTGAATGAATGAATGTCCCGGTCATTCTCCCAGCCTGAGTTGGGGGGATGTAGAGGACTCCAAAGTCATGCAGAACACCCATTTCTCGCCCGGGATCCTCTCTTGGGCATCAGAGAGGCATGGCTTGCAGAATCAGCCCCACCCCAACCTGGTGTTCTGGTCACAACCCCTCCTTGCAGGGTCACCTTCTCAACCTCACCTGAATTCACCTGGACTGCCTGTTTTTGTATGGCCACAACCCCAAGACTGGGTTTTAAATTTGAAAAATTCAGAAGGACAATATATTGTGACATATAAAAATTATATGAAATTCAAAACTATCCATAAAGTTTTATTGGAATAGAGTCATGCCTGTTCATTTATATTTTGTCTATGGCTGCTTTTGCACTACAAAGTCAGAGTTGAGTAACTGCAATAGCATGTGGCCTCCAAAGTCCAATTTACTGTCTTACCCTTTACAAAAATGTTTGCCCGGAACTGACCTAGGGCCTCAGGTGGCATTCCAGGCTCAAAAGTTGTAAAATGAGGGCCGGAATTTAGCTCAGTGGTGCCACCACCTGCCCCACAAGTCCAAGGTCCTGAGTTCAATCCCTGGTACCAAAAAAAAATTGTAAAATGAAGAGGGTGTTACCAAAATGAAGAGGCCTATTACCAAAAATCCCTAATCTAGATACTGTGAAACAATGTATTTTATCTTAGTCATTTATTACTTATGGTCCAACTATGCTGGTGAGCCTAAATGTAGCAATTCTTTCTCACCTTAAGATAGTGATGGCAAACCTTTTAGTGCTTTCAATAACAAACAGCCCACTGCAGCACCTGTGCCATAGGCTCACTACCACTGCTTTAAGATGTACAAAATGGCTGAGAATCTCAAACATTTAAATTATTTCTCTAGGGATCAAAACAAATTTTCACAAAAGGATTAGAGTTCTCTGATGCCAGGTCAAAATGGTGTTTCATAAAATACTCAAAGAGCATACAAGTAACTGATACGAATGTTGGTCTGCTTCACTCCTTCACTGCTTCAGCTCCCCAGTATTAGCACTAGGAAGTCCTAAAAAGGGGCGAGACTCTGTAGAGAGAATGATACTCTTGCTGTTAACTAATCTCTTAGGTTTTATGGCAAGGCATAGTACTGGCTAATGGAACAAGTTCCAGATGAAGTGTTAAGGGAGAACAAACATCAACTTACACACTTACAAAAAGCAACAGTAACCTGAATGGATAAGCTCTGTTGATGCACACCAAGCAGACCCAAGCACCGTAAAACTCTCAAGGAAGACATTCACCTTGGGCAGTTTGCCTTATGCAGAGAACTCAAATAACCCAAGTCCACTGCTCTCCACTTAAGGTCAATAAATCTCACAAGATAACCCACTGCTGAGAGCCCACAGGCCCATGGCCCCACTGCCCTTCTTCTTCAGAGGACAGTCCAGATTACCCCTCTAATTTCTATCTTCCTTCTTATCAGTTGTAAAGGAAGGAAGAAAATGGAGAGAAGGGGGATCATTCAGGGTTCCCTATACACTGTAATTGGAAGTAGCATTGATGGGGAATGAGCTAACTGTTTTTAGAAAGTCAGCATTCAAAAATGTAAACCACCAGTAATTTAAATATTACAAAATTGTACAGAATATAAGTATTGGAATAATTTTTTCCATCCACAAAATTTTAGAGAAAATTACAGTATCACAAAATATGAAATGGCAGACTTGGCATATCTTCAGCGTAAAACGTGTTTTTTATTGGAAAGGATTTTTAAAAATTGGTGGGTAGGCTCTTGATAGGATGTGATGCTGAAGAACATGTGGTATGTCTCTAAAACTGCTTCTGCAACCAGAGAGGAAAAGTCTCAGAAGCACCAATGTACCAGGACAGTTAGAAACCAAGCTGGTAAGACTCTGAATTAAGAACCTGGGCTACTTATCACGATGGTTATTTGCCCTTAGCCCAGACTTCTAAACAAATCACACCAAGATTTAGGGTTTAAATTACATAAAAGTTACTCACTACATGTGACCTAGCAAAGCAAAGGTGACTGGAGAGATCCACTTTCCAATAAACATGAGTGCAGACTTGCCTCACTGAACAATTTTCAGAGCTATTACTCTGTCCTTTCCAGAGGGGGAACCAATCTATTTTCACCCATACCTCTCTCTCCATCGAGGACATTAAATCCTGAATACACAGATGGCAAAGTCGAGCTAAGGAGTTACTAGGTTACAGTTATGTTGACATATACTGCCTCTTAGAATGTCCCTCCCTTACTCCTCATATAGGGCAAACGGTAGAAGTGATCAAATTGTAAAAGTCTCATAGAAGACAATGAGCACTCAGAAACTACTTACTGAGCCTCAGGTTTACAGTGCTTGGAGACCCTTGTTCTACTGATCTAAAACTAAGCTTTGTTTTTTTCAGGGATTCATCAGACAGGAAGCTCACAGCATTCCCAGGGTAAATGAGGTGTCTAGCACTTGGTGAACTTCAAAGCACTATAAAAAGTACTACTAAAATATGTTGATTGCCTTCTATACATGTGTTACCAACAGTAGTATATCATTTAAGCTTTCATAACATCCCACAAGGGAATTATCATCATCCCCCCTTTACAGATGAGGAAACTGAGGCTCAAAGGTAAAAGACAACACCAAGTCCTAGCACTGACCCAAGTTGGTGAGTAAACCAAGTAATTCTCTCTCTCTTTTAGGGGTGGGGGGGGGGTGGGGAGGGACAGGGTCTCACTATGTACTTCATGCTGGCCTTGAACTCTATGTAGCCCAGGCTGGCCTCGATCTCAGGCAATCCTCAATCCTCCCTCCTGCTTCAACCTCCTGAGTGTTGCTCATATTACAGGCGTGGACCGCTATGCCCCTGACAAAGCAACTGAGCTTTCTTTCACCAGCAAAAAAAATCCTGTCTTTCCAACAACACAGTCTGTAAATTTGGGTGGAGAACCCAGAGGCTGGTTTTTCTACTCAAACAGACCGGTAATGAACTTTTCCCTTCCCTTTCACAAATGTCCCATGCTCAACACCCAAACAACCTGCAGAAAAATGTTAACTGGGCCAGGCAACGTCCTCTTTCCTTCTCTTCAACTTGGAAAGTATTCTGCTATCAAAGATTTTGTGTGGAAGCTAAGCAAAGTCCCTGCTTCCATCCTGATCCAGGGCCCCACCTCCCAAGACCTGTGCTTGGCCTGCGGAGCCGGATAACCTATTTAAATTGTGGTGTTACCCAGGTCACAGGACTCAGCACAGCACGCTCAGGAGTAGTACCCTAAGCGCTGCAGGGGAGAAGTCTCTCTTCACCCTTTCCTTTTCTCTCTCTTGCTGCTGGACAGTCACCTGAGTATTGGAGAAGTTCAGAGGCCGCGGGGACGCAGGAGGTAGGGGGCGTCCAGGATAGATACAGCGGGTCGTCCCAGGACCCAGACCTGCCTCTAGCGGGGCCAAGGAGGCAAGTCAACTCCGCAGCTCTGAAGGCAGGAGTTACAGGGTCGCCCAAGAAGGCGCAGCGGGACCGGGCAGAGGGGCTGGGGGCCGGGGGCTCCGCGGGGAGGCGCCGGGGTGCACTCGGGTAGGCGGGAGGCGCAGGAGCTTCGCAATGAGGCTCCGGAAAAGGGGTCCTGATCCGGGGGAGGTGACACTGAGGAACTTAGAAAGCGGGTACAGCGCCTTGAAGCGGGGAGCCCTCCCACTCCGAGAGGTGTCGCTAAGGGACTTGGAGAAGGGATCCCAGTAGATACGGGGCAGAAGGGGCATTCTGGCCCTGAGGCAGTGAGTCGCCAGGGCTTGGCGAAGGGATCCCGGGGGCACCGAGGCGGAAAAGGTGACCTGGTGGGGTGGGGGAGGCACTGAGGAGTACCAGGTCTCCAGAGCCCGGAGGCATCGGGCGGGCCCAGGGCCTCGCTGAGGGGTTCGGCGAAGGGGTCCGGGGACACCGAGGCGGGAGGGAGGGGGCCGCCCCGTGGGCGGCCCGCGTCGCCCCTCGGGCGGAATCCTCACTGGACAGGCACCGGGGGTCGCTCACTCACCGGGTCCGGGGCCAAGGCCGGGGCCGGGCGCGGGCCGGGCCGCCAGCGTGAGGGCCGCGGCGGAGAGCAGGGCGAGGCGGGCGGCGGGCGGCGCCATGGGCCGTCAGTGCGGGGCCCCGGGGCGCGGCCCGGGGGAGAGGGGGCAGCACGGGGAGCCGGGGGCGGCCATGGGAGCCAGACTCGGGGCGGAAAGTGGCCCCGCCCCGCCCCGCCCCGCCCGCCCGGCCGCCCCGCCCCGGCCCGCCCTCCTCAGAGCCGCGGCTGCCTCCCAGGCTGCTGAGGACCCTCCCCGCTCGGCCTGGAGGCCCGAGGGGCGGAGTCGAAGGCACACTCTTGTCCCGCCCCTCCCCTCGCCTGCCACTCATGCCCCAGGCCCCGCCTACCTCACCTCCCCCTTGGCCCGGCCAGCTGGGCCCCCTATTTGCCTGAGCTAGGGTTGGGGCCAGTAGGTGAGGGGCGGGGCTGGGGTCCAGCCTACGAGTCTCCTTGGTGAAGTTTGGCCCGGCTGAAGCGGCCTGGGTTCCTGGTGACCCCTGCTCCATCCTCAGTCGGGTCGTGACCCACGCGCGGGCTCAATCACAGCAGTAATAATCAGAACAGCGTTTGGAAACCGCTTTTCCCTGGTTGGCTCATCGTGGTGGTTAACAAAAAGGTGCCTCGGAATCAGCCCTTCCAGGGTCATAGCCCACTGGGTCACCTGTAAGACTTTGGACAGGTTAAAAGAAACACATTTCCTCATCTGTTAAATGGGGGGGGGGGATAGCAACTACTCCCCTAAACGGTTGTGCTAAAATGAAATAATGCATGGAAACTTACGCACACACAGTAGGAGTTCAGAAAATGTGAAGTTCCTTTCTCTATGCCAAGTCTTCCAGTCACAAAGAAGGCACATACTAAATCCTGATTCAGAATCCTGTCATAGGGCCGGGGATTTAGCTCAGTGGTTCCGCCGCCTGTCTCGCAAGCGCAAGGACCGGAGTTCGATCCCCGGTACAAAAAAAAAGAATCCTGTCACACATCCTTAGAGCAAGTTTCCTTATCTGTCTGAGCCTCAGTCATCTGGAAAATAGGAACCCTAAAAGGCCCTTCACAGATTGGATGAGATAGAAGCCAGTAAACCGGCTGATGCAAAGCCTAGAAATGAATGGGACAGTGCAGCTGAGAGGACTGGTGGCTGGCTTGAATTCTGAGGCTCTTTGCCCCCGCAAGGTCTTCCCCCAGCCTCAGCCAGGTCTACCCTAAGCTTGCCTTCTCCCCCATACACCCCCAGGCAGAGGGGATTTTCCTGCAGTTCTCGTCTAAAACTTCCCAGTGACGCCTAGCAGGACAGGTTTGGGCGGCGCGCCGGGTGCTTTCAAGTCCCTGGTCCCGGTCTTGCAAGTGCGGACGTGCGCCCAGAGCGGCGGCGGGAACACCTGCCCTCGTGTGCCGACTCGTGGTGCCCGGGGGCTGGGCGGTTCCGACCCCGTGGGCTCCCTGGCCTGCCTAGGATACACCCCTCCTGCGCCACACCGTTGACTCCCAGAACGCACAATTCCCTGTCATCCCCCGCTATAAACACACAGCCAGGTGCTCCCAGGGCCGGGCCCAAGGGCGCAGCTACCTCCCAGGAGGCCTCTCTGTCCCTCTCCACCCACACGACCCAGCGCTAACGGCAAGAAGAATCTTGTTCAGTCGTTTGTTTTCATTGTCATTCCTGAGTTCAAGAATCTTCTGGGCTTCTTACTGGAGCACGGAGATATCATCACTAGCCAACCCACCCAGACACACTCCATCCTGGGGATACACCCTCCACATCTCCTCAGATTCTTGCTCAGCCTCCATTTTCTTCACCATTTCCCTTCCTGACTTGGGCCCTCCCGGGCAGAAGCACTTTCAAAGACAATGAAATGAGAAAGTGCAAGTGACACCATCAGTACAAAGCAAACCCTGGATAAAGATGAACCTTTTTTCCTTGAACAAACACTCAGTGAAGAGTATGTCCATCGCGGAGGAGGACATGGCCACCAACAAGACAGGCCCAAATTCTCCTCCTGGAAACTGACATCCTAGTCAACCCCTGGGTGGGAAGAGGGGATTGGTGTGTGTGTGTGTGTGTGTGTGTGTGTGTGTGTGTGTGTGTGAATTTCAAACATCCGAAAGCACCACAGAGAGAAAATAAAAACTCAAAAACAAAGAAGTTAGGAGAATGGTCTGTAGACTGTTTTAAGTAGGACTCTGGGGAAAGTTTAACAAACACTAGAAACAGTTTCTTCAACTTACTAGTCTTTCCCCCATATCATTGGCTGTTTCAGGGGAGAAAACAAAAAGGTGTGTGGAGGAGCTTTGAAACAAAGTTTATCTGGCCAACCCTGGGCACTAATGCCTCCTGATAGTAGCTCCAGGCTGTTCTGCCCCTGGTAGGAAGTCACCCTTACGGACTGAAATCAGCCCCCCATCCTTCATTTGGTTTTCCTCCCTTTGGGAACAAATGGGACCAGCTGTGTAATTTACACAGCACATTGGAAAATGAAAATGTGAGGTCCTTGTTCAATCTTATTAAAAATTTCAAGATAGAGACAGCAGAGTATTAAAGCAAGGGGACCTGTGTCCATACACAAGTGGCACCCCCATGAAATCAGCCCTGTGTACAACAGAACTCAGAAAGTGTGCAAGCTCCTGTCCCCTCTGGTTGCTATAAGAAGCATTCCTCCAGCCTCCTCCCCCCAACACACACACACACACACACACACACACACACACACACGTTTTCTTTTTCAGCTTAAAGTCCAGCACAGGTGATGGAAACAGAGTACAAGAGGCTAAAAATACAACCAAGTGTGTCTAGGTCATGGCACTTAAGAGCTCAAGGTCTTCTGCTCAGTTATGTGGTCCTGGCCTCAGGCAGGGAGCAGCCTGAGATATTCATTTCAGTGCTTCACGTGCCTGGGCATTTAGCAGCTTTATTTCATGGAAAGAGTGAGGACACTGACTGTGGCCCCTGGGCCACCGGGAAGATGTTAGTGTCTGTTTACCTACTTGCACTCTCCAGTCAGGCCCTTTTCCTCCTCCATGGGTAGCAAAGTTTGACAAGAAGCTGAGAGACCTAAACCGCTGGACTTTGGGTCAGTCTATGTCCTTGAAACTCTAATTGGGATGCCTTCTGCTCAAAGTTGCATCATGGAGTGACCATTGGACGAGGGAATCTGACTATAACGATAGCAAATATCTAATGTGAATTTTATTAAGTACTGCACAGTATGTATAGTCCTATTCCACATAATCTTCCCAGTAGCCTTATGAAGGAGGTATGCCACCACTCCTACCCCCAATACACAGAGGTTAAATGACTTGCTCAAAGGTCATATGTGGTGGGCTGGACTTTGAATCCAGGCAGTGGGACTCCAGGGCTATGCTCTTAAACAGTATGCTAAATTGTCTCCTTATCTTTATAGGGTTCTATCAACAAACACTCTTTGAGTGACCCAGGGCTGGGACTAGGGTGAGACAATTGAGTAGACACAGGCTAAAAATTTAAGGGAACTTAAATTTGAACACAGTAAAAAAAAAACCCTCAGTAGTCAAGATAAATGTTATTTAATAAATATCATATACATCTAATAAATATACAATAAGCATTTTAAAAACAAAAATGAACACCAAAATCCACAACGAACAATATTTCAACTTTTGTTTTTCAGTGTTAGGGACTGAACCCAGGGCCTCACACATGCTAGGCAAGCGCTTTACCATTGAGCTATACTCCAGCCCATATCAACATTTTAAATAAAGACAAGATCTGATTTTTCTTTGGACTCAGGCTTGATTCAGGACAGTATGCTTTCTGATCCTGTCTCCCAGGTTTCTGACTGAGGCATCTTAGTGATGGAAAATTTGAGAGAAGCAGTAGTTTTCTTATTTGATGGGGGTGAGAGAAGAGAAAGAATCTGATCTTGAACATAATGAATGAGAGGTATCTGTGGAGTGTCCAGGTTGAACAAGTTTGGGTTGGAAATGGGAGTAATCTGCATTCAAAGTCAGGTGACAAATGGTGGAAAGACAGACAGACACCATCATTTCACATCCTTGGCCCATGATTGTTGTACATTCAGCACATGTCATCTAAATCAGTGACCTTCAAAGTTTGCATTATAGTTCAGGAATCTTTTCAAATTCTCTCTCCAAAGCTTTTCTCTTCTGCATCATGAGCCTCAGATATGTCTCACAAGGTCATGGAAGTTTACTGCATGGGTGTTAAAATAAAAACATCTTCTGAGGAAACAAGAAACAACAATTTCACTGAAATTTCACAACTATTCCATAAAGAGGGAAAGACAAGAATTCATATAAATGGATTCAATTTCTTCTTGATTAACTGATTCTCCAGGAAGAGAATAAGAGCTAAGAGAGACTAAAAGAGAAGAAATGAAAGAAAAAAGAAAGATTATAGGAACTAAAAATACTAGGAGGAAAGTTTGGCTAAGCATCAAAGAAGGGCAGATGTGCTTCCAAATAGAGGTTCTGATTTAGATACATCAGGAAGCACAACTCCAAATGATGAGTGGAAAATTGAGGTTATCAGACTGAAATCAGCAAGAATACAATAAAAAAGCTTCATAGCAGCATCAAACTGAGGAAGAAGCCTTTCATTAATATAGTGTTGCAACTATCATAACCCCAAGATTTGGTACTGAGGATGGAAGCTCTCACCATGGTTTCAGGTCCCTGGACCAAATGCTCTTTCCAGCCTGAGTTATAAGAATTTTGAGGGAATGATCTCTGCTAATGTCTAGCTACTTTCTTACTGTATCCTCACCTGCCCACTTCCCTTTCCATCTAATGAAACATGAGCTGTTCTGGATTGCTCCCACAATTGAACAGGAAATGTAGCTCCTGTGCATCTACCACTTTTGTGAAGTCAATCAATCCCACACATCTTTAGTAAAGATGGATCACGAGAAAAGAGGTGCTATGATACCCAAGGCAGATCAGAAACATTCCCCACCTTCAAGGGGCTCATTGCTTGACTTCATAAATCTGAGGGACCTGAGACAAAGATAATATCAAATGTTGGATTATGTCACTGAGACCATGGGCAGCAGGGGCTAGAGAGAGAGATGGTTAGATGAGTGAATAGGTCACAACATTATTGTTAATAACAACATCATCTATTTATTTTCTGCAGATACTTTCCCAAATTTAGTCTGGGCCACCCCACAGGCAGAAAGCCCAGAGATATTTTTTCCTTTCCCATCCTAGTGCAAGAATATTATTTATTAGGTGCTAACTATGCATCAGAAGTCATGCCAAGTACTTCATTCACTCCATTCTCACCATAACCACTGGGTAGGCACTATTACCATCCCCGTTTCACATATAAGGAAGGTGAAGTCTTATTTGCCCAAGGAGGGGGACTGCCTTGGGAATTTGGAGAGACCTGTGGGCCAGCCCCATGCCAGGATCTTCCAGACCCAAAATATGGAGTCTGACAGGTTAGAGTAGCAGAGGTGGAAGTGACAGAAGGATAGGTGAGAAAATTGAGGTTGAGATATGGGTTTGGGATGCTAATTAGAGCAGAATAACTCCTGAGCCTAGACAGCCTCAAAACAAAGATAGGACTAGGATTAGGCCCAGGGAGGGTATATGGATGGGATGAACAGAGTGGAAGAAAAGCCTCACAGTGATAACTGTAAGTGATTCACAAGGGCTGTTCAGATTTTGGCTGAGTCCAGTCTTTATTTATTATGAAGTATGGGACCTAGAGCATGGTTCTTGAACAGCTGTGGCTCAGTTTCTTCATCTGTAATGTTGGGATGACAACAGTACTCATACTCACAGGACATTTCATGATACAATATTTCTAACATCCCTAGAACATTTCCTGGCCTTCATAAATATTGAATAAATACTAGTTTTCTCAACATATGGAAAATAGCACAAGTAAAGCTTCCCTGGGGATGGTTCTAAGGATGATGAGGGTCATCTATAGGGCACAGTCAATTGAAGTAAGTTACATGGAATGGAGAGAAGGCAGCACTTGATCAGGTTTGAAGAGTATTAAGAGTGCTGCCCATGTGAACAGCTTGGTGCTAAAAGAAGGAGATTCAGTGTGCTCTTCAGAGTCACAGCTGTGTCACTTGGTATTGAGTCAAAAACAGGAAATTAAATATGTTGGATGAATATCTGGAAGGAAGGAGGAGGTGCTGGGAAGCCAAACTCAAGACAGGGAAAGAGGGCCAGGGATTTAGCTCAGTGGTTCCATCGCCTGCCCAGCAAGCACAAGGGCCAGAGTTAGATCCCCGATACCAAAAAACAAAACAAAAAAAAACAGGGAAAGAAGCTGGGCATAGTGGCAGCACACCTGTAATCCCAGAATTCTGGGAGGCTGAGGTAGAACAATCACAAGCTTGAGCCTACTCTAGGCAATGTAGTGACTTAGTGAAGCCCTGTTTCAAAGAAGGGAAAGCAGAAGGGAGGGAGGGAGAAAAGAAGGAAGGAAGGGAGGGAAAAAGGGAAGGAAGGAGGGGGAAAAAAGGAAGGAAAAGAGGGCCAAAAAACTAAAACCAAAACAAAAACGGTGGGGAAAGAGAACCAGAAGAGCTACTCCAATGATAACTTTTTAGTTCCATACTTGCCTTCTATCCCTGCCAGGCAGAGTTTAAATTCTGGATGGCAATTTTCAGGTAGCCTAAGAACATGCTGCCTGCCACCTCCCCAAGATTCACCGGCGCTGAGAGGATGCTCGCTTGCCTGCCCAGTCTCCAGACATTCGCAAACCGTTTCCAAAGACAAACCCTTTCCAAAGCCCTGCTCTAAAACTGACCCACCTCTTGGGAGGTGAGGCCAGGGCTCAACACTGAATGAGTGCCATTGTCCTCCCAAGTGTCTGTGGGTCCAGATGCCATCCGTCTGGAGGTAGTTCCACCACGGTCTGTGGTGTGGTCTGCCTGTAGGCTTTGATTCACTCCAGGGATAACACTCAGAAATTCAAACAGGCAACACATGCGATTCCAGGCTTCCCTGCCAGACTCATACTTTGTTTTTCCATCATTTCACTCTCTTCTCCCTGGGGAGGGAGGCTCCTTTGGCATTTTGCATATGAAAAATCAAAACCACCATCAGGACCAGCACCTGATAAGGAGCAGGGCATTGCCCAAGAGTTCCCATGAAGAGGTGTCTTTGTTCTCCTTTCAAACTCTTGACACCACTAACAGCTCTAATTACTGCATTTGCCATGGGATGTAAAATAAAACCACATTCCAGAAGCCATGTAGTCTCCCTGGGAGAGACACACAAGGAGAAGTGCCCAGGATGGTAGGAACGTAGTCTTTCATTTTTGGTCCCTAACCTTGGCAGCTATTGTAAGAATTTAACAGTACCTTCTTCATGTGCATGGAGGAGGGTTCTTTTGCACATGTAGGGATGCATCTCACTACCTGTATCCACAAATCTATCTGCGTATTTGACATTTTATACAAAGCATGTTTCTTAAGAACATTAGGATCTTCACCCAAGCCACTCTAGAGGAGGTGAGGACTTCAGAAGTTACTGAGGCTACAAGTACTACAAAAAAGAACTTCTTTCTACATAATTTAACTATAAAATCTGATAATGTAACACCCACCCACACCCATATCACAAACCAAAGTGACATCACAAATACTAGAGATAACATATGAGCCAAAATCTAAACAAACAGCAATTTGACTATACATGACTGAGGCAGAGAAAGACAGAACTAGAAATATTAAAACAAACAAAAAAAGAGAGAAAAGAAATATATATTTCTTTCCCCTACTAAGCTAGCTAAAATAAAATTTAAGGCAACTGAAATATGGTAAGGTGATTTTATTTTTTATACATGACATTTCTTAGAAAGCCAGGTCTCTTTAAGTCTGATTGTAATCTGTCCAAATTGTTTTCTTGTTCTCGGCTAGTCTCCAGGATATGGAGACAAGCGTAATTTAGGCTGTACTTTGCCTTTATGGACCCCAGAGTATATTTCTCTCTTTAGTGGCCTTTCTTGGCTTACTTAGGGGAGTATAGTTGGAGGGGGTCTTTAGGGTTTGGCCGGACTTACCTGCTGTCATTTCTGTGTTGCAGTGTGAATGAGTTGTGACTATAGCTTATACGGGAGTCTTAGGTGACCCTCCTTCCTATTCCTTTCCTGCCATGGATTCCCTTATTCTTCCAGCAGACAGGGATTGTCTGGTATTCCTAGTAAACCCTCCCTCATCCAACTTCTTGCTTCAGGGTGCTACGTTCTTCATGATATTCAGCCTGAATATCATGACCTTGTAAAGGTCTGTCTTTTCCCTATTTGGTATAAAAAAGGAGAGCAGGGGAGAGGATATATAGAAAAAATTTTTAAAAATCTATGTAGAAAGAATGGTCTATAAAAAGATATTAATACTTAAGATTTCAAAGTAGATTTGCTAGTTTCTGCATGAGAACTGCTTTTTTATTCCTCCTCTGCTCCCTGTAATTCTAGCATCGAATCCATGTGGGAAGTGACTCTAGCACCGCCACCTATGGACTTCGACAGTCTGTCTTACTGAACACCAGGCTGCAGGACTGCTATGTTATCTCTCCAGCTCTCACCAACATCTGGATGGCTAGAATATGTGCAAAGCAGAACATCACAGGCCCAGCACCAGGTACCGCCTCTTGTTGGGAAGTGGTAAAGAACCCATTAATCACCAGTTCATTCTCCCTGGTTAAACTTGTGCTCAGACGGCAACTGAAGGATAAATGCTGCTCAGTACCTTCCAGGTTTGGAGAAGCAAAACCCTTGAAGAGATTAAAGCCCACAGACAATTCAACAAAAGCCACCCAGCTGTCTGGGATAAGAAACTCTATCAATTTTAAGAGCAGGCGGCCAGCAGGGCAGCTGCCAGGTTCACTTGGGCACAGGAGGCCAGGAGGAAGCATCAGAAAGGTAGACAATGGCCAGTAGTGGAGTTTATGAGATGGGTGGGGAGACAGAAAGGGTAAAGCTAGAGAGCACTCCACATCTAAGAGAGGTATACCAAGTGAAGGAAATAGGGTTGGGATTGGGAGGGTGCTGCTGATGGAGTGCAGAAAGCACCAGATCTGGGGTCATGCTATTATTTAAAGGATGAAAGGGCCTTCATAAACACAAACAAGAAGAACTTGACAGAGAAGGAAATTAAGGGTGAGAAAGGCCAGGCTATGGGTTGTATTTTCTCACATATACATGACCGAGGTATGCTATAGTTTCCACATGGAGCTAGCTTGGCTGTCTTATATGAGCCCTGCCCTTCATTTGAGGGCCAGTAGAACTGAGTATGCCTTGGAGTCAGGCTGTCAGAGTTCAAATCCCAACTCAAACCTTAACTGAGGATGACCTTGGGCTTAATCTCTTTGTCTTGATTTTATCATATAAAATGAGAGCTAATGGCCCTTCCCTCAGAAAGCTTCATTAAGATTAAATGAGTTACTACATGTTAAAGGGCTTTTGAGCAGACTCTGGCACCAAGTAAATAATTAGGATCCTGCCCCGCATTGAGCAGATGACAGCTGTAGTTATTAACCTTCTCGTTGTGTGGCCTTGGGCAAACCAATTTCCTTGCCTTTAAAGCTGTCTCCTGGTGACCTTACAGGGCCATAGGGAACACACACAGAAGCATACATGAAGGAATTCAGAAAACTAGAACATGTGAGACAATTGTTGGTTGTTATAACCAAGACTTTGAGACACAAATCCCAGATGATTATTCTGAGCTCCCTTCTCAAGTTTTAGCTTTGATTTCTCTGCTTTCTTCCTGGCTAGAGCAAAGAAAGTTCAAAGGAGAAAAACGTAACACCCCGCCAAGATCTTGAGGACAGATATGCCAAAAACGTGGCTGCCACCCAAGAACTACTCCGGAACAGTGGGATGACAGCCTGCAAGGGCCAAGCGCTTCCTGAAATTCAGAAGAGACAGCAGCTGTCAGAGGATACCCTAACCATCCATGGCCTCCCCACAGAGGGCTATCAGGCTCTGTACCATGCTGTGGTGGAGCCAATGCTGTGGAATCCTTCAGGAATCCCCAAGAGGTACAACTTGGAGCTGGGCAAGGCCATTAAACAAAAGCTTTGGGAAGCTCTGTGCAGTCAAGCCATCACCCTTGAAGGTGCTCAGGACCCCTAGCCAGGCAGGAAGTGAGTGGCTGGGTGAGAAGGCTGTGCCCAAGAAATAGCCCAAATTAAAGTGAAAAGAACAGGAACTCATGAATTTAGGATATTCTCTGCTAGATGTCTGAAAAATAAGTACTACTTTCCACCTTTCACATAATTTTGGAGTGCTCCTCAAATTAGTGACTACTTTCTCAGAACATGACAAAAAGCTATCAGATTTAGTCAAGACTGAAGTCCCTTTCCACGCACGGTTTGGTAATTTGCATGTGACAGAGACAGGGCCCCACTATGTTACCCAGGCTGGTCTCATGATCCTCTTGCCTCAGCCTCCCGAGTAGCTGGGACACAGCCTTGCACCACCATGCCTGGCACATGATTAGGTAATTTTGAGCTAGATGCTTAGGGGTTTTTTCCTACAAGGGACTGAGGTTTCCAGGTAAGAAAAGGCCTGGAAGATGAGGCCAATGGTTTATATCCAATCTATCTTCCCTATTTCAAGAAGGTGGACCACTAAGCTTTTATTGGTTTTGGACCTGGGGTCTTGCCTCAGCCTCAGCCTCTCAAGTGCTGATTATAGGTGTGTCAGCACCTCGGCAAAGCTCTTGATCATTTACTTCTACTGTACTGCTTTCCCTACCTTCCTCCATATGCACTGAGCAGAAAGCCTACCCCCACAAGGACTTAAACCCCCAGTCTCCAGCAAATGTTCTCCCTGACACTGGAGAACTCCCCAAAGCCTGAACTCTGCGTCCACAGGAGAGGAAGTTATAGGGATACTTCCATGGGTAAACTGAAGTTCAAAGCACTGCCTGTAATCTCAGCATTCTGGGAGGCTGAGGCAGGAGGACACAAAGTTCAAGCCTAGCCTGGGCAACTTTAGAGACTTAGTCCTGATTTTATTTATTTATTTATTTATTAGTCCTGATTTTAAAAAGAGGGGGGAGGGGTGGCAGAGATGTAGCTTAGTACAAAGGGCCTGCGTCGGGCCTGGGGTTTGGCTCAGTGGTTCCTCTGCCTGCCTTGCAAGCGCAGGGTCCTGAGTTTGATCCCCGGTACCAAACAAACAAAGGGCCTGAGTTCAATCCCCAATACTGAAAAAACAAAACAAAGCACTGGTCCATACAAACCTCTTCCTGGTAGAATCTGAAGATCTCAACAGAATAGAGCAATGACAACATATAACACATAGTTGATAAAATTGTATTTTCTTTACAGTCATTTGTACAATTTGTTACAAAACCATAGAAGACTACGACTTGTTTTAAATCATTTTTGGTCTGCAAATATGTAAAATCTGTGTGCAATTATCATGTATTTACAGGGCCTCGTGTTAGTCATTTTCAATGATTATTCCAACAATGTCACACTCTCAACATAAGACATGGCTTAAGATAAATATATTAGTAAATAAATATTCTGAGAACATATTTCCATAAATGAAATGTGCTGCTATACATATACAGAATATACATAAGTTGTTTTCTAGCTTTTAAAACATTTTTAAAAAATGGTAATGTTGGAAAAGGAGCCCTTAGATTGTTTAATTACAAAATCTTTACAGCAAAGTCTTTATAAAATATTTTAAGTGCCATGGAAGAAATTAAAAAATTCTTTTAAATAGTGCCTTTTTAGACCAACACAAGAGTTTATACAAAGAATAGAAAAAGGCAGCTCTGTTGCAAAGACAATACTCTTGATTAGTAATTATTTTTTAGACCTCATTTTGAAAGCATGAACCTTGAGTAGAGACCAGAAGTATATATGGGAGAGTCTGAACAGTGGAACAGGAGACAGAACTTAATAAAGAAGCTTGGAGGACAGTTAAAGCCAGCTTACTGGGTCTGTGTCCACAGAGGTACCCTGGAGGTCAGAATGCTCAGACTTCCATGTTCAGCTGGTTCTAGAATTCTTCAGTTTACATGGCTGTCCTATACACAGGACAAGGCCCCAAGACCATGTCCTATTGTCACATCCCAATTTGGGGGAAGGGGTGGTTCCAAGTGGAAAGTGGGATGCTCCTGTTTCCCTGGCTATACAACTACCACACACCACAAAGGTGCTTGCCACCATAATTGGAGCCTTCAAACTTCAAAGACAGTTCATATGATTAAAATAGTGATGCAATAAGATAGTTGGTTATTTTACTCCAGTGACCTTCCTGTTTAATGAGCCAATACAAATTTGAAAGGTGATGCTTGATTTTTAAATTTTCATTGTTTCTTCCACCTATACAGTACAAAAATTAAATAGTCCTTTTTGTTGTCTATAGTTATCAGTCTTTCAAATAAAAATTGATGTGTTTACTTTAATAAATCCATTGGCAGCCAAATTTTCTCATCTATTTACTGCTTAAGGCTACTGAGGGGTGGTTTTCTAGCTAGGGCTAAAGAAAGCCACTTTGGGGGTAGGGTTTCAGAAAAGGAAGATAATATGCACTCAAAGGCATTAAAACTGAAAAAGCAAAACCACAAACAACAACAAAAATTCAACAATGAGAAGCTGCTTTTTGCAGTTCATGTTAAAAGTCATGCCCCACCCGCTCCCTAAAACCATGTAATGCAAGCTGTTATTCTTAGCAGCTGCTACTCCTGGCCTCAGAAATAAAGGCGGCCCTGATCCCATGTCAACAGCTTAGGCGCTTCTCACACCCTTACCAACAGGTGTGCTAGGCACAGCCCAGGGGAGCAGGCCCCAAGAGAGTGTACCCCAGAGGCTGGAGGATAAATCTCACCACTGTGAGTTCCTAAATGGCAAATGGCTTGATGTTGGGATTTCCTTCTGTCAAATCCTGGCTAGAAATAATTTCCTCATAATAGGTTGGAGTCTTAAAAGCATTCTGATATAGTGAGACTTTTATTCAAAATGTTCCAGTCTCAGTCCGGGGATTTAGCTCAGTGGTTCCACCATCTGCCTTGAAAGCACAAGGTCCCGAGTTCGATCCCAGGTACCAAAAAAAAAAAGTTCCAGTCTGGACCCTGGGCTGACTTTCTGAGTGCCTGACTGGAGAGGGGTCAGTAAGTCTTCTGACATCCCAGGGTGATCCCTATCCTCATCTATAGGGAGCCAGGTCCCAAGGTTCCTATTCTCAAATGAGCTTTTAGATACTCAATGGGCCACGCTCTTTCAAATGGCAACAACCATCTGCTATATGAAAAAAAAAAGAGAGAGAGAGAGATCAGAAGAGTTAGTGAACATAAAGGCTAATGTGACTAGTTTCAAGAACAAGAAGGAATAAACTGGACAAAAAGGATGATAATCCCTGATCTGAAGTAGTTTTAAATAGAGTCTCTCCCTTTTAAAAATGAAACACTTCTCTTTTAAAAAATGGTTTGGGTTTTAAAAGCTCTCCCTGCCCCTTAGAAAAGCAAAAGGCTGGAAAAATATACAAAAAACTACCCTTTGGGTCTAAACTATCTGATAGCCTATCTCATGGAGAATCAATTTATAATAGTGCATTAGGTAGATAGTAGACATTTGCAGGTGAGATGAGCAATTTCAGCCATGAGGCAGAGGGCTGAATAACCCTGAAGTGGGGCTTTTGTGGGAAAATGGGATGGGAAAAGTATCATTCAAGGGGAGCTCAGGGTTCAGACCCTCCTCCATGGGGTCTGAAGTCCTACCCCAAGGAAGGCAGCCCAAAGAAACAGCAGCCAAAGGTGCTTGGCCCCTCCCTCCACAGAGCATGTGCACAGGCGTGCCCTGCATCCCTTCTCCAAAGGGTAGTGTGCTGCAAGGTACTTGGAGAGCAATCTCCCCCAGCCCCATCAGACACCAAGGCCACAAAAACTACATTCTTTCTGGGTGTTTGCCCACACTCCTTGTCTAACCATTTCATAGCCAGTGGCAGGAAGCCCAAAATATATTTCCAAAAGAATCCAAAGTCAAGAACAGAGGCAGAGCTTTCTCTTCTCTGCCCCAGGGGTTACAGTTCAGGTGGAGGTCCTCAAGAACACTGCCCTTATTATGATCTGAGCCTCTGCCATGATCAGGATTGTGAACTCGTTTCATTTGGGATGACCCAAAGGGACAGATTAAGGATACTGGGCAGAACTGTCCTTGTCTTGCTGAGGCTTGTGCAGCAATGGTTTGACCCAGCTCCCTAGTGCTGCAGACTTTCTGGCCTATTCATAGCCATTTCCATCCCCTGTCTAAAGGTACAGGCTGGAGAGGCATGGCTTCCAAGACCTGACATTTTGTACATTTGGATTTGCCACGAGAAACAAAGAGGCAGCTTTACATTGTTCCTCAGAGTTTGTACCCATATTAACTATCTTCACTTCAAGTTTCTGGTTCATTTTCTAAGGCAGGTGTAGCCCTGAGCTTTTCAAAGGCCTGAGCTCCCTCCAGGGAGACAAGAGTATCTACACATGATGTGGTTCATTTAATGCAGCAATGATTTTTTTCTTTTTCAGCAAAAACTGGTGGTTAGGGTTCTTTAAAATATATATTTAAATATCTTTTTACATTTACATATAATATCTTTTAAAAAAGAAACAAAGCAGAGAACTCAATCCCACACACCTTGTAACCCCAAGCACACATTTTACAAAACAGAAGAATAACATGTTATCAAAAGAGGCAAAGGACTCAGAATTTTGTCTGTTGGTTTGTTAATGGGAGAGGAGACTTTTGCCACAGGTGGCTCACATTTTGGGTTGAAAGGAGGGCTCTCTTTATTACCACTTTTATGTGTTTGTCAAAGCTAAAAATTTTTTTCTTTTTTTCTCTTTCTTTTTTTTTTTTTTTTGAAGGAAGTCAGAGTCTGACAGTTCCCAACTTTCAATAACAGTTCCTTCTGAGCTCAGGTTCCTGTGCCGCTGCCTTCTGCTGGGCGAGATCCTGGTCCTGAGAGACAGAGGGAAAACAATCATCAGGGAGGGAGTTGGCACTGCTGGCCTTGGACACAATGCACAGGGACCAGAAAAGGGACTCTGGTGCCCCTGTTCTGTGTGCACACTGGGCAGGCCCTCACAAAGTGGTAGCTCACAACGGGCTTGTCATGACTGTGTGTTCATGATAAAGGGCTGAAGCAGGTCTCTTTTTCTGAGAGGAGCTCAGTCTATGCTAAGAATATAATGGTCTCCTGGGGGCCAGCCCCTCTCATCTGGATATGCAGAACTTTCTGGAAGTCCTTAGGTGGGGCGAAACCACAAATATATAAAAGCGATGTTAAGGGAGTGCTGAGTGAGCGCCAGACCCAGCTGCAGGTGGGTGCTACAAACAGTAAAGGCCCCCTCGCAGCGTATACAGACCTCCCCACAAAGTCACCTCATTGAGGGACCTTGGCAGGGGTCGAGGGTCACTCAGACAGATCTGGAGGACAGAAGTAACGGAGAGGTGTGGAGGCTAGGATGAGCTTGGCACCTTGAAGGAGCAGAGAGAGACCACAGGGGGCTAAAGCAAGCAAAGCAAAAGCAGCAAGTAAAGAGAGCAGAACAGGCACTGGTTGAATGGATAGGCAGGGGCCGGATCACACAGGGCTGAGTAAGGAGCTCATGTTTTGTTTTTTTTTTGAGACAGGGTCTTGCTTTGTAGTTTCGGCTGTCTCTGAACTCACTTTGTAGCCCAGGTTGGCCTTGAACTCTTGGTAATCCTCTTGCCTCTGCCTCCCAAGACCTGGGATTACAAGCATGCATCATCATGACTGGCATTTTCTTTGTTTTTTTGACACAGGGTCTCCCTATGTATTTCAAGCTGGACTTGAACTCATTATGTAGCCCAGGCTAGCCTTGAAATTGCAGCAAACCTCCTGCCTCAGCCTCCCAAGTACTGGGATTATAGGCATGCACCAACATGCCTGGCTTCAGTTCACATTTTAAAGATTCTGGATAATAACAAATCATTAAAGAGTTTTCTAGTGTAAAGACATTTGTTTTGAAAAGGGCCATTCTGCCTCTCAAGTGGAAGAGAAGGCAAGCCCTGAGACAGGAGACTTCTCTGCCTTTGCCTGGAGAGGAATGGGGCTGGAATGAGACCACTGTGGTGGGGGTGCAGAAAAGTTGATATATTTGAGATGTACCTCTGGGGATGAGTGCTGCTGTGGATGTGACAGGGCAGATGCTTGTGAGACAGACTGAAAGATCATGAAAACAGGCTCAGTGGATATGAAAGTCAGAGAAAGGGTGGATTTGGGGACTGACATACATTATCAGGTACAGATGGTGTTTAAAACCAAGGGCATGGAGGAAAAAAGGACTGAGGATAAGGGCCCTCCCATGGAAATGCCTGCTCTTACCTGCAGCCTCAGCACCTGGGGCGTTGGACTCCTGAGTGTCCTGGGGGGCACTGGGGAGGCTGGCCCTGGTGGCACCTGCCCCCTCTGGAAGACAGCCAGGCTGCAGCAGCACATCAGCCTGGTAGCATGGAGCCTGCTCCTCTTCCTGGGCTGTTCCCAAGCTCCTGTGGGGCCGCAGGGCATCCAGGCCTGGCGTCCTACCCCAGGGTCTGAGGCTAGGAGTCCCTTGGCAGTCTAGAGGTAGGCCCAAGTCACAGTCTACATCCTCTGGAATGATGGGGATGCGCTGGCTCAGGTCCTGGGCCCCTGAGTAGCAGCTGGGTGGGGGCTCTTCAGCAAGTGTATACTGCACAGTCACTGAGTAGTCCTCAGTATAGCAGCCGCTGCCCCCTCCACCACCATGGGCCACTTGCTTCTCTTCATAGAAGCAGCAAGGCAGGCCCTCATATTTCACCCCATCTATCCGGGGCAAATGGTCTGGGTGAAGGCCATACAGGCCCTGGGAACTTCCTGGCTGTAACTCCCCTCCTGTGTGGCTGCAACCCTCATGGAGGGGGGCACTCAGGAACAAGGTGCTGCCATTGCCAGCTGCTCCTGCACCAGGCCCCAGTGCAAAGGGCTGAGGCTCACAGCAGCAGACACATGATGGCCCCTCTAGGCCCCCTTTCCAGGTCCTCCTGAGGTCCAGCGCAGCCCCGGGAGAACCCTCAAGCCCCACATCTGAGGTAGAGCTGGTAGGCCCCCTGTGCTCCAGGGAGGAGTTGCTGCTATAGTTCATCTCCAGGCTACAGGTAGACAACTGGTCCCCTGAGGGAGAGGCAGGGCCTGGCCATGGCTCTCCCTTTCCAGCACCATAACTATGTGCTGTTAGGAGCTCCTCGGGTGGTAGGGAGCCCTCAAGGCACACGGCAGGCGCTCGGCTTGAGCTGCCTGAAGCCCCTGCCTCGCTGGTGTGACAGGGACTCCGGCTGCGGTAGATGAAGGGGTCATAGTCACTGCTGAGGGAGCTTCGGAAAGTGGAGCAGCTCCCATAAACACCCTGGTTGCTGACCTCAGTGCAGTCCATCACAGAGTCACTGGAGGAACAGTGGCACGGGCCAGAGCTGCTGCTGCTGTCACTACCTGGGCAGTCAGCCAGGTAGCCACTGCACATGGAACGGTGGCCATGGTAACAGCTGAAGCTGGACGTGCTGCCACTCTCCAGGTGGGTGGGTGGGACCATGTGCACCACAGTGGGGAAGAGCAGGCTGCTGCCTCCGTTAGGTGGGAAGACACGGGACGGGCCTCTGGGTGGGAGGCTAGGTGGGGGCTGGCCCTCCTGCTCCGGGTAGCTGAGGCCCTGGAAGTAGTAGTGTTGATACATGGTCTCATACTGGGAGAAGCAAGCTGCCTTGGAGAAGCTGCGGCTGCTGAACTTGGGCCTGCGGAAGGGGTGGGCTGGAGAGTATGCCCGGTGCTCCAGGCCGCAGTGGTGAGTAGCCAGAGTGTGGTCCAGATGTAGGGGTGGGTAGCCACGGACATAGGTGGGGGTCTGTGGAGGATAGAGGCTCTGCTCCCCATGCCGGTCCATGGACAGCAGTGTTACAGGGTTCCCGTGGGAGTCCATGCTTGTCCTTGTGGGGTAGGCTGGGATGGCGTTGGTCCTGTGCACACGACCAGGATAATGTACTGGCAAGGTCACCCTCTGCTGCCGACTACGGGCAAGGTTGCTCGTCTCCACACACACGGCACCTGGGCTTCCCTTTTGTTCTGGGGAGAGGTGGAGGAAACAAGGTAAACAAGGCCGAGCATATTGGTGCCAAAGTCTGGAGGGGTGAGAAAGGGCCACATGCCAGGGTGCCTATTCTTACCACCCTATCACATTCTAAGCTGTCATCAAAGCTCAGTTATGCTGGCAGGAAGACAACCTGTCTCTCTGAAAGGTGGTCACTTCTGTGAGAGCCCAGGTCCCACCTACCCACCACTGTGCCTGACAAGGGTACCAAGAAGGGTACAAAGATGACAGTGCCTCCTGCCTGGTCCCATAGCACAGGAACACAGGAGCAGTAGCTCACATCTGCTACAGTACACCCATCATCTATTATGGCCCCTGGGAGCAACCCTGTGATGTGGGCATGGGCAGGCATCATTACTGTCATCCCCTGAATGAGATTGGAGGCTTCAGGCATGGAGAGGCAGGGAAAGGTCACCTTCCCGTTTAATGTGAAGGCTGAACTTGAATTCAAAGTGATTTGTCTTTTCTTTTTGGGTGGGGCGAGGGATAGAACCCAAGGCCTTGAGTATGCTTAGGCACATGCTCCATCTCTGAGCTACACTCCAAGGCCCCTTAGAGTGACTCTTAATGTCAGGCTCCTCTAAAGCCTTGTATAGCTAACCTCCATGGCCACCATGCCTCCGATTCCAGGAGGCAATGCTGTGGTGGTTTTGCATCTCCTGAGCCAGTGGTATGTGTTACGTACTTGCCAGGCACTTGGCAGGGACAGTGTTCTCTGATGTGATTCTTCAGCAATGACTGAGATAAGTGACAATTACCTATGATGTTGTGCCGACAGTGGGGGCAGGTGTGGTGCTGCAGCAGCCATGGGTCCACGCATTTCCTGTGGAACCGGTGAGTACAGGGGATAACTCGCAGCTCCTGGGGAGAGGAGAGAGGACAAAGCCTTAAAAGAGGGCATGGGGACAAAGGAGGGCAGTTTTGCCTTCAGCTCTATACCTGCTTCCTCCTGCAGAGCCCAACATGGACTGAGGAGCCCTAGTTCACTGTGCTGGTGACTTTCTGTTAGGTTTGGATATTAAGTGTATCTCAAAAGCCCACGTGTTAAAAGCTTGGTGGCCAGCTTGGCACTACTGGGAGGTCACTGGAGGTGTGCCCTCGAGGGAGGTTGGGGTCCCCAGGCTCCTCTTTCCCTTTTTCATGATCTGGCTGTCAAGTAAGAGGTTTTTTACTACCATGTGCTCCTGTCATGATGGGCTGCCTCAGCACAGACCCAAAGCAACAGGGCCAACTGATCACTCTGAGAACTCTAAAACTGTAAGCCCAAATAAACCTTTTCCAAGTTATTTCAGGCTTTTGTTACAGTAATGGAAAGCTGACTAACATAATTCCCATTCTCCTCTCCACCTCCAGCTATAGGTCAGCTCCATTCCCTGAGGTAGACCCATAGACAGGTACTATGGAGAAGGGAACTATCCATTCATCTGCCCCAATCACAGTCCTCAGTGTTAAAGGAGTAGGAACACAACCTCCTTTGAGGGAGTGGGAGGGCATGCACATTCGTGGCTTCATACAGCAAAGACTAGAGCCTTGTACTAATGAGGCTATGAAGCCTGGGGGTGTGGAGAGGGAGAGCTAGGAACACCCCAAGATATTATGCATGTCTTGGGGTGGGGTGGGGTGGGGGTTTGCCTGCAAGTTGTGCTAATAGAGACAAATAGGAAAAAAAGATGCCTGGGTCTTGTGATTGATAGGGTAGATGGCAAGGGGGCAAATTCTCCAGTCCCCTGTCACTGGATCCTACATAGAGAGGATTTTTCTGGGGCAGAACCACCTGTGAAGTTCTTAAGCCTAAGCATCCTCTAAATTTCCTAATTTTACTTTATCTTTTCATTTTGAATGTACACCGTAACATTCAAATTAATACCTAACACTGTACCTGACAGAGTACCAAGAGATTGACCTGCATTTTCTCACGTAACTTTCATGACCACCTGGGATGGTGGTCAGTATCAAGTCCATGTCATAGGTGTAGGTAGAGAATGAAGCCATTTTTCCAAGTTCACAAAGTTAGACCCTGGGCCAGGGTTAGAGCCAAGGTAGTCTGTACCCTATAGGTCATGCAAGAATCTACTATTCCAGAGGCTTCTGTAAAAACTTATTTTCATTCAACAGTTTAAAAAGCAGTGGAATGGGGCCAGGGATGTAGCTCAGTGGCACAGTGCCTGTGTGGCAAGCGTGAAGTTTGATCCCTGGTACCAAAAAAAAAAAAATCAAACGGCATCAGATGGCTAAAATTCTCAAGTGGTTTGCTCCTTGTTCTCCAAAACTGTAACATGGATGCATCTATCTGGATATAGATTAAGCAAAGGTAGCAGGCAAAATGTTACCCAGAGGTGATTCTGGTGAATAATCTACGTTGTTCATGGTCCTATTCTTGCAATTTTTCTGAAGGAAAATAAAAAGTATGGAGGGGGACATCAAATCCCATGTCTCTTTGGAAGTAAAACATATCAACTACTAGAGTTTTCAGAAGTGCAATTCGAAAATAGTCAACAAGTGTAAATGTTCTTAAAACCGGACGTTTTCTGGCATGTATTTTTAGTCAACTTTTGAAGTCACCTACATTCAGTGTGATCCTGTGGAAAGTGTTGTGGCCCCCACCCCAAGCCCAGGAGAAACAGTGAGAACAGCCCAGGCCATCCACTAGAAATCTTGTTTGGTCCTGCAAGGCTGTGGGGGAAAGACTGTGGTCCTGGGCACCTCTGTAGGTCTGTCTACCTCCTCCCCACCCACAGGCAGGCCCTGTCTCTGACACTACCTCTCCATCGGTGTACTTCTCCAGGCAGATGGCACAGTCGGATGTGGAGCTGCTGCTGAGAGTATCCAGGGCCCCACAGCTCCCCTCTCGGCGCCCCTTGCTCTTAGAGTTGAACTTTCTGGTTTCCATCTTCTCTAGAGCCTGCACAGCCAGCCTGTTCATGGAATTCTGCATGGCAGAACATGGTCAGTGTTAAAATCATGTAGTGGTCAACTCCAGTGCTAGGCTCTAGCCAGCCAGCACAGATTTTTGACACATCACTGAAAATTCAGACTGCCATAGGATGTTTTTCCAGACCCCTAGAGCACCCATGACATCAGCCCAGGCTTTCCCCAGTGGTCATGCCTTCCTTTTGAAGGCAGGAATCTCCTTCAATTATTTGGCCCCAGTGCTTCCCAATTTTGTGAGACCCTGCTCTCCACCAAAGGTTCACCGTTGATGGTGAAGGAAGCTGTGAGAGTAAATGAAACAATGCATGCAACCTTGGCCACGGGCACATAGGATGTAGTGGATAAACATCAGCCCCTGTTCTATGGGGGTTGCCCTTCAAGCCTCATGAGAACTTAAGCATTTCTCCTCTTGAATGACTGCCACCATGCGCAGCACCATCTCTCCCTGAGATGTCACAATACCATGCATCTCAGAGTTCTGCTTCCTGTTCATCCTCTTACTATACTGACCCCAAATCTTTCTTTCTTACAAGTACATAGTGATGTGTTCGTTGGAGCACTACTGTGGCTACTCTGTTTATCTGAAATCACTCAGAGGGCTTAGCAGATGCAGACTGGATTTAGCAGGTTGGTGCAGAGCCTGAGAATCTGCATTCCACCAGGCTCTCAAGTGGTGCTACTGCCCAGGTCTGTTTGAGAAGTGAGGCAGTAGGGCTTAATAAGAACATTTATTTAAACATTTCTTCTGATAAAGTATGTATAATGCAGGGCCTTTATAGACCTGGGCTTTTGGAACACTAAAGACACAGTGTAAGACCCGATGGGCACTCAGACTCACAAACAATGGGCTGATCAGAGCCCTGACTTTCACCAGCAGCAGCACAACCAGGTCAACATTCTGGAGCTGCTTTAGGGATTACCTGACGTCGCTGATTCAGCTTGATTCTGACAAGGAAGATGAGGGAGGCTAAGGAGACGAGCACAAAGAAAGCCAGGAACATGCCCATGTCGAAGTACTCAATTGGTTGCTGGAATAGAACACAAACATAATTAATCTCAGCCACTCTTCAGCTTGGTAATGGGCACATATGGGTTGTTGGCCCTAGTTGGGACAAGGATGGGCTGAGTGGGGCGTGGGTCCCATCAGTGTGTTGTAAACTCCTAGGGCTCAGCTCATATAAACACAGCATGTTCTCTGGGCCCAGGTCATGCCCTGGACTGGCTGGGGGAGGCCTGCAGTGGTTTCAGCCAGAACTCCTAATAGCCAAGGGAACTCTACTCATAAAGCCTGGCGTTGGGCTTGGTGGTACATGCCTATAATCCCAGCACTCGGGAGGCTGAAGCAGAAGGATTGCTGTGAGTTTTGAGGCTGGCTTGAGCTATATAGTAAGTTTCAGGCTAGCCTGAGCTATGTAGTGAGACCTGTCTCAAAAAACAAAAAATAAAACAAAACAAAATAAAAACAGCCTGGACCTCCATGGACTAGCACAGGCCTTTCCAAACAAACACAAATAATTGCATTTATGGTACAAAGGAGTGAGTGTCATGTTTTGAGGGAACAGTGATTATGAACCATGTAATTAACGGTTTACAACAACTCAGAAAATTGTGTGGTGCTTTCACAAATATCGGCTTCCACTACAATGAATCATATTTACCAAAGCGGTTTTTCTTCCTTTAAAAAGAGGCCAGCAAGTCAGTTCTGCAACTCCCCCTCCAGTTTTAGCCCTTGCCTTTTTCCCTCACAGCACACTAGCACACTGCCTCCTACAGCCTGAAGCTGTCTCACCTAGGATGCCACATTTAGTCAGTAGGAACAGAGCTTTGCTAATGGGACGCTATATGTATTCAGATACTTAGCACATGTGAAAGGAACACTCTACATGTGAATATTCCACTATCTGGGAGGAGGAAATAACTCCAGGAGTATGGGCACCAGTGTAGATTCCTAGAATCCTTCAGCCCGAGGTTGGGGAAAAGATGACAGGCGAGGGTTAATGGCCAGCAGTGTTTGTTCCTTCAACACACTGAAGAGAAGCCTAAGTACTACTCGTCAGCCATGGAAGTCAGTCCCAGTCAAGAGCTAACTTTTCTAGACTCATCTGTGAGCTGGGAAGTCTTGATAAAGTAATTTGCCCTACAGGAAGAAGGAGTGCAGCAGGCCTTTTCTCTAGTGCCTAATCAAATGGGAGGATGGGGGCACAGGAAGCCAAATGATGAGTCCAACCCTTCAACCCTCCTCAGTGTGCCCCTCAGGTGAGACAGGATAGGAGAGACGGACAAATGAGAGGCTACCAAGACGAGTGCCAGGTGGAAGAGACCAGAGACTGACTTCTTAGCACTAGTCATCTATTTCTGGTACATGTATTTTCAAATTCATTATAAAGGAATATAGGTGAAACTTCTTCCTGGGTCGTGACTGCCAGCATTTTAGACAGAAAGATGTCAAAAAACAAAGCCCAAAGCCTAAAGGAAACACAGGCATAGGTAGTGGCAGGGAAACCACTGGGCCTAGGCTGGCTAGCTTGTGCACTCACTCGAGGAGGGCGGTGCTGGATCCTTGCTCGAGCCACTTTCTGCTTGTTGACAATGTTCATCAACTTGATAGCATCTGCACCCTTCACATATACCACTGGCCTCTTGAGTGGATCTTCTGAGCCTTGGTTTAGCTGAAGAAGAGAGCTCTGGTTAAAAGATATGCTTACTGGGGCTGGGGATTTAACTCAGTGGTTCCACTGCTTGCCTCGAAAGACAAAGGTCCCGAGTTCGATCCCTGGTACCAAAAAAAAAGTGCTTATTTCAAGAACCAAGACAGAGAGTGGGCTGGGAATGTAGCTCAGTGGTAGAGTACCTGTCCTGGGTTTGACTGTAAAGCATTGGAGGGGGTAGGAGAATGTAAGAAAAAGAAAAAGGTTGAAGGAAAAGAACACCAAATCCCTGTCTGAAAATCTTTGAAATCTTTAAACATTCTAGCCTGGGGATTCCCAGAAGAGCAAGGCTAAGGGTGGTGCTTACTCTAAGATAGGCTGGGCAGGGGCAGAGGATTTAGCGCAGTGGTTTCTCCGCCTGCTGCACAAGCACAAGGACCCGAGTTCGATCTCTGGTAAAAAAAAAAAAAAAAAAAAAAAAAGATAGGCTGGGCAGGCTGGGGGCCCAGCAGAGTCTTTGAAAATGTCCTCAATTCCCAACTCCCTGGCTCTGAACACCCCTCAGTAAAGCTCCCTTGGGTATGTTGTCCAAACACAGATATCTTAGTTTAGCAGACAAGGGCAAAGGCTCTAACTTGGGGTGACATGACTGTGACCGGCCAAGCTAACTAAAGGAAGTGACTCTCAGGGAGACTGCAAGATTGGTGTAGGTTTACCTGGTCAATGGCTTCTGGGTTTTCAGATACATCAAAGATGACTGCAGTAGCTCCCCGTTGTACTGCTCGCTTGGCCTGGAGAAGTGAAAAAGAGCAGGTTGACAACTTTGGTCCTCTTGGGGCTGGGGATTTAGCTCAGTGGTTCCAGCGCCTGCCTTGCAAGCGCAAGGTCCCAAGTTTGATCCCCGGTACCAAAAAAAAACCAAAAAAAAACTTTGGTCCTCTTACTTTCCCAATGGTGGTCTTACAGATCAAGCCTGTGTGCAAATGCAAGAAACTGACAGCAACAATCTTATGTGACTTTGTGCAAGTTACCCAACTTTCCTAAGCTTCAACTTTCTCATCTGTAAAAAAGGAGACAATGCTACCTACCTTTTATGTTATCTAAGAAGCAGATGAGTTAGAGTAAGTAGAAATAGGTAGCTGATTACTCAATAAGCCTTTGTCTCCCTAATCGGCCCAAACATTAAAAACAAACTATAGATCCAGCCAGCACAGAGATGTTGGTTTTAGTATTTTCTGCTATGAACACAGAGCCCCTGTCAACCAAGACAAATGCCTTTAGTTCATCACTCATGGTTCTTTCTTCCATCCCATGTCATCTAGTCAGAATAGTATGTTGGCTATCTCTGAATGAACCTCAAAATGGTCAATTTTAGTAAGTGACACAAGCTGAAGACCTTTGGAGACACTATGGGTGGGGGGAAACCTGCAAGAAATAATTGTAAATGGAGATTTAGAGCACTTGGCTGCCAAACCTGGCTGCACATCAAAAACCACTTGGGAAGTTTGTAAAAGCAGATTTCCTGGCTCAAACCACAGAGACTGATTCAGCAGGGCTGGAGTCAGGCCCAGGAAACTGAGTTCTATAAGCTTTCCAAGGGAGTCAAATGATTCAAACACTTGTAGAACTATAGATCAGAGAGATGAGATTAGAAGGTTCAAGAACAAATGAGAAGGGACAAGGTTGCTTTTTTTGTTTTTTTTTAAGGTTACTTTTTTGAGGGGTAGGGAGCATGAGGAGGATTCCTTTCCTAATGAACCTTCTAATTTCATGCCCAACTAAGTGAGCAACAGGGTAGAAGGTGTGAAAGAAAAAGACATAAGGCAGACCCTTACTTTTAGGAGTCTGAATCTTGTTAAGGAGATGATTCCTCTAAATGTGGGGAGAACAAACCCCAAAACTGGCATGCTATATGATGGAAAAATGATGGCTAGTGTTTAAGAGGTCAATAGAGTCACTGTGGACCCAAGTGCTTAAGAAAATCTGAGTTCTTTCCACAGGAATTGTCACTATCTATTGATGTGAGAAAGTACAATAGGCAAGAACTTGGCTAGACCAATGACTCTCCTGGCCCACTAGGGGGCAGTCTCATCCCATAGCATTTAAATAGCTTCCCTGCAGGTGGCACAATATGCAAAACCAGCTTCAGTGTCATCCTGAGGGCACAGCATGCACCTTAGCAGTTCAAGAAGCCCTAGACATCTGGGTGCTATGCTCAAGAAAGAATCTGTCCTTGTGCAGCGGGCTTTTAGTTTTTAAAACTGAGATTGAATGTATTTAAAGTCTCTGCCAGTGATGCCTCCCCTTTCTTTTTCATCACCAGAGTACACTAAGAGGAAGGAATGAATCCTAGGAGCCATTCTTGGACAAGTTACTGTATTTCTTTCCTCATCTTTGCCCCAGTCTCTTCATCTGCAAAAGGAGAGAACCTATGGCATTATGATTGGTGTCCCTTCCACTTCCCACTCTAGGCCATTCAACTGAGAATCCAGAGTACTCAGAACTGCAATGGCCCTGTCATCTCCCTCTGGCAAAGGAACATGGGTGACACAGCTAAGAGGCAAGGTGGCATTGCTTTGTTTTTTTAAGGCAAGTTCTCATTATGTAGCCCAGGCTGGTCTTGAACTCACTATGTACAGCCCAGGCTGGCCTTGAACTTTCGGCAATCCTCCTGCCCCAGCCTCCTGAGTGGTGGGATTACAGGCAAGCACCACCACGCCTGGCCTCTCCCTTAAAGTCTTTAGGACTACAGACCTCTGCCTGGGTCAACAGCTTGTAGACTGCAGAGGTAATAACAATGAGTAAGTGCTTGTGTTTTCTGCTCAGGTCTTCTTCACAAATTCTTCCACAGACAAAGAAATAAACAGGACTCTCATCATTTCTTTGGTTCTCAATCCATAATCAAGCATATCAAACAGCATCTGCAGGGAAATGTGGGTTCAGATGTGTTCCAAAGGAGAGCACCTCCTGCTTTGATGTTAGTGCGACCAGGGAGTCTGCCAGCTACTGGATGAAAGGCTTCACAGGACGTGGGGCAAAGACACTTTCCTGGGACTGTGCCTCAAGGAAGCCACACAGCCAAGCAGCCTCTCTCACGGTTCTAGGCTTCCCAAGAATGTGGAAGTGTAAAACACCTAGAAGCTCCAGATGAGGTATGACCCATGTGGGACAAGCATAATAGTCTCTTTTTTTGGTGGTAATGGGGTTTGAATTCAGGACCTTGTGCATGCTAAGGAGGTGTGCTACCATTGCGGTACATCCCTAGCCCCGTAAAAGAGGTTTTAAAACTCTTTAAAACAGGTGGAGAATGTATTTAAATCCCATTTCCTGCTTGACTTTAGACACACCTCAAGCAGGGTGATGTACAGAATCCAAGGACAAATACTGTATTTAAGAAAATGCTTAATTCTCACAGTCAGTTTACTTTAAAAGTTACATTTAATGGGGCTGAGGATTTAGCTCAGTGATTCCGCCGCCTGCCTCGCAAGTGCAAGATCCCGAGTTCTATCCCTGGTACCAAAAAAAAAAAAATTACATTTAATGTAAGCTGCTATTAAAGTAAATTCGTATTTCCTGCACATGCCAGGACTGGATAGGTGGGGAGTCAACCCAGAACCTACTGGGAACTTGCCTGTTAGGACCCACCTTAGGATTTAAAATAGGCGATGAATAACCTATATTCAGAAAGTGACACCTCTATTATATTATTCCCAAAGCAAATTAAGAAGTACAGAACACTAGTCACACTGTCCCTCCTGCCCCTCTGCCCATTTTCAGTTTAAAAACTTGCAGCAAGTTCTATGAACAAGTTTTCATAAAAATATGGTGAATGCTGTCACCAAGTACCATCCAATGAAAAGGCAGGCTCATGAAAACATCACTGCGTGTTCTTACCCACTTTATTAATCAGATCTAGCACTGAGTGACTTCTGGCTCTTCCCCAAAGTCAAAATGATGATGGAAGGTAAACTTTCTAAATTGATTCAAGACATCGAGACAACCACAATAGCACAACTAAAGACACTCATGAAAGAGGACTTCTAAAACTGCTTCAGAAAGTGGCAATAACAATAGGATAAGTGTGTTCAAAGTGAAGAAGAATATTCTGAGGGGCGTTAATGGCAATGTGTCTTTTACTGTAATAATTTTTTAAAAATTTAAACACTGAATTTTTTATTACACAACATACCAGTCATGTGACCACCAGAAATTATTTTTATAGTGTCACACAGTATCCAAAACTCTCAAATAGGGCTCTTTATTACCAGGAATTTTTTTTTTTTGGTACCGGGGATTGAACTCAGGTCCTTGCACTTGCGCAGCAGGCGGCAAAACCACTGAGCTAAATCCCCAGCCCTTCAAATAAGGCTCTTTAAAAGGAAGAATGCGAAGGATGCAACTTGGTGGATATGGTTAGGTGAAGGTCACTGATAAACTGGGTTACACTCTAATAGGCAGTTATCCTTAAAACTGTGCATAAACCAAAGTAGAAAGAAGAGCAAGAGAAGGTGTGACAACAGAAAAGAGGTGTGAAGTCTCAACAAAGCTCAAGAAGCAGCCAGCCAAAGGCCTTGCCCACATGACCTTGGCAGGCCCTTTCCATAAAATTATGTTCATGTCCTTCATCAGCTTTGCAGGAGAAGGCAGATGGGACCAGTCTTTGGTGTCCAGAAAGAAGCCTGGGGGCAGAATGCTAAATTCAAGGTTGTCGTGGTCCTTTATTTTCCTTTCCAAGGCTGCAGGACCAGAGGCTAGACAATGTCCACAGCCACTAAGACAAGTAACAAAAGAGCAAACATCTGCACACTTAAATTACATTTTGCAAAGCACGCAAATTGAACCCTTAGTATACAGGGCTGTACCGAGTTGGCACTTATCACTCCTATAATAATTCAATAGTGGTGATGCATGCCCGTAATCCCAGCACTCTGGGGGGCTGAGACAAGATGATTGAAAGTCTGAGCCCAGTATGGGCAGCTTAGTGAGATCCTGTCTTAAAATAAATTTTAAAAAGCTAGGGATGTAGTTTGGTTCAAAAGTCCTGGGTTTAATCCCCAATACTATGAAAGGAAGAATAGGAAGGAAGGAAGGAAGGAAGGATGGGAGGGAAGGAGGGAGGAAGGAAGGAGAGAGAGAGAGAGAGGGAGAAAGGGAGGGAGAGTGATGGTGCACATGAGCCTCGAATCATACTTTTGGTTACTGCCAGTAAAAAGAAAGCGCTCCCTGACCATGCATCTGGGTTTTCCTATCAGGAAGTGCTTCTATCAAGATTAAGTCTAGAAGGTTCCAATACAAATGGGGCACTCTAATGAGAACAGTTTCAACACCACTGTAGGTGGGAAATATAAAGCCTAGAGCCCAGCACCAAGGAATTCCACTTAGGAATGGATCTGACCGTCTCCCTGTTGGATGTAGTAATACCCAGACTTTGTTTGGGGCTCAGCCCTACCCAACACCTCCTCCCTGGAGCCTCTGAACTCCTTTTTTGTTTGTTTACCTGTCCCTTTGTCAAGCATGGGATACAATGTCCCCAATCCCTAACCTTTACTGTAGGGATATGTAGACAGAATACAGTCTTAATAGGAAATAACCTAAAAGATAGCAGAAAATTTCCTTTGTCCCCTATTCCTAATCATAGGATAACCAAGAAAAGTTTGATTTTTAGAGCTAATATGAAGACATGTCTTTGACTTCTTATGGGAAAGTTATGATATATGGGGGCCCTAAGTAGACTTTTTTTGGCCTGTATTGAATATAATCTTGCACTCTGCTTTTTCTAAATACAAGCTTC